TTAGCGTCGTCCTCATGCCACTGCACTGTGAGCAAAAGAAAACAGAATCTGCGCATTTAAATTTGGTGTTATGGAGCCTAGCATGGAAGGGTAAACTAATTGAAGTGACTTTAATTCAGATTGATTTTATTTTTGCTTCCCTCCGCCTCCACCCCGCCCCCACTGACCCACTCTGGAGGTGCAGCTGTTTGGGCCAGAAAAGTTGACAGAAGCCGCCGTGGGCACTCGGGCCACTAATCGGGCCCCTCGGGCTTCTCTCCGCAGCGACTACCGCCCCGCAGACCCAAGGCACAGAGCCCCGACAGCTCCACCGCTGCCCGCTCCATTCGGACTCTCGCGCCAAAAGCACCGCGAGGGGGTCACGTGACGTCTCGACGCGGCGCGCAGCGTACGCACGCACCACCCGGAAGTCCCGCCCCGGTCTCTCGCCGCTTCCGCCGCTTCTCATGGCGGGGGAGGGTTCCTCGGTGGTCGCCGCGGCAGCAGGTCTAGCTGACCCTTAAGGGTACCCGACCACCGACCTGGAGGGGCGCCCCCTTATCTCAGCCCCAAGTCCCTACGCCCCTTCTTTCTGTTCCAGCTCATGTTTGGGCGGGCGCCCTTGGGACACCACCTGGACCTGTGTTGTGACCTTGGAGGGAGTGTCCCCTCGAGAACTGTCCCTTAAAGCGGTCTTTGGTTGTGGGTGACCCCCCATCCCAACTCCGCAGTAGTGGGCGGGGCTGTTACTTGCAATCAGAGCACCTAGCCCGGCGTGGGGGCTGTACTCCCAACGCTTTGGGAGGCCCGGGCGCTCGTGGCCAGGAGTCCGAGGCCAGCCTGGGCATAGCGAGACCTTGTCGCTAAAATAATAATAATAACAAACAGTTAGCCGGGCATGCACCTGTCGTCCTAGCTATTTGGGAGCCTGAGGCAGGTGGATCGCTTGAACTCCGGAGTTCGAGGCTGCAGTGAGCCTGGGCGACAGAGTGAGCCCCTGTCTCGTGAATACATACAAATAAATAAAATAAGAAGATTTCAGCTCTAGCAGGCGTTCAAGACCGGCTCTGAGCCGGTTTCCCGGCAGGAAGAACAGGGAAACCCATCTTAACTCATTCATGCAGTGTTAACTACATCCCTCAGCCTGCGGTAGCATCTTTTACATTCTCAGGATGTGGATCATCCGCCTGCTCTCCTGTGCCTGTCTTCCTCCCGAATGACTTGGAAGACCTGACTTCATCTCTGAATTCACAGGCGCTGTGACACGTCTAGTATAGGCTTAATTCACTTTGTTATAGGATCTGGAATGTCTTCTCTTTTTTTTTGAGTTGGAGTCTCACTCTGTCACCCAGACTGGAGTGCGCTCCCGGCCACCGCAGCCTCGACCTGCTGGGCTCCGGCAATCCTTCCGACTCAGCCTTCTGAGTAGCCGGAACCACAGGCGAGCGCTACCACACCCGGCTGATTTTTTGATTTATTGTAGAGATGAGGTCTCGCTGCCCAGGCGGGTCTCGAACCCGCGGGTTTAGGCAATCCACTCACCTCAGCTTCCCAAAGGCACGGGATTACAGGCTGAGCCACCGAGCCGGGCTTGGAATGTCTTCTACTGGATTCAGAAAGTCAGAACCCATCATGGACCTTGTTGGTTCCAGAAGGTGCTTGAGCAGTAAAAGCAGAAGTAACCTGGGATTAGAGAAAGGATGGGCTCCATTTGGTTCCTTAGGTATCATTTTAGTTTGATCATCAGTAATCCTTAGCTGTAGCAGGATGCCTTACTAAGGCAGATGGATTCTAAAGCTTTTGATCTTCTAAGTCTAATTAGCAGAGGAACACAGGTCTGTGATCCTTTCTAATAATGGCGACCAATTACTGAACATTTTATGAGTTGGGCATTCTGCTGTGCATTCTCAGGCTATATCATGTTTAATCTTACAATAAACCTATAAATTGGTTAGGGCTGTCAGATTGGGGAAACTGAATCAAGTACTTAAGTGATGTGCCTGGTAGCATAGCAAGGTTCAGGTTTGAATTCTAGTCCATTTGGTTTCATATACTTAACTAACCTGTGATTAAATCTGCTTTTACTCTTTAAACCAGAACAATTTGGTCTTGTCCTCCTCTTTAGGGAGCAGGGTGTTTCACTAAGAGTGGACTAATGAGAACCCTTGGCATGTCACACAACCCTCTGAAATATATTTTCTCTCACATAAACATTCCCTTATCAGTATGGCCTGATCCAGTAAATTGGCTGTTATCCCTTGCAGCCAATTAAAATACGAGCGGCAGAGACTGGGAGAAAAGGGAGTGTTTAATTTCTATAATCAGGTTAAAGGAGATGGGTGGGCATCATTGCCAAAAAGCTCACTCGAAGCAACACAAAATCATTGTAGTATTTATACCGCCAAATTCGTAGCCCTTTACCCACATGAGTTTGAAGCCTATGTGCAATTTTAGCATGACTCAAGATTTACGTAAGTGATTTCTGATATGTGACCACTGACCTGACACAAAGTTTTGGTCATGTTGACATTTTAGAATTTAGAACATGTCATTTTACAGTTTTTTAGAGGAAGGGGCAGGCACTAGCAATATTTGGACAGGAGGGAAAACATAACTATAACAATCTTTTATTCCCAGAGCCCTGGCTTATAACAGTCCAATGTCTTTGTATTCACAGATGGAGAGGAGGTGGGTAATGCCCACTCCAAGCTTTCAGACACACTCCTATTGGCCTTGATCTACTCTCCTGATCATTAGGTGGTCTGGCTTGCCCGGTTGTTTCTTCTTCAGCACCAGCAATGGCTGCTGGATAAGATGGGCCAGTCGGGCTAGGCCATGCTAGGAGAGGAGAAGCTGGGCTGGGGGGGCGAATACAAAAAATGGACACTTTTGAATCTAAGTGGTTTTTACATTTAGCCCGACTCAGCTACAAAATTACATCTGTTCTAAATGATGGTTCTAATATAACCAAAATGGCCTCTTTTCAGCCTATAATGCTATAACTTTATGTTCCTTGTTCTCTTGGTACCAAAGACTACATTCACTAGCTCTGCCATAATATACTTTCTTACACTCTTCTAGTGTGGCTGCTCAAATCACTTACTACTTGCACTCTATTTACTATATGCTTTATTTGTTAAAATCTTTTTTCATAAAAACTCAATGTATGTAAAGTGTACAACATGATGTTTTGATATACCTAAGCATAGTGAGATGATTACTACAGTCAAGCAGTTAACATATCCATCTCCTCACATAGTTAACTTTCTTGTGAGAAAACCTGAAATCTCTTCGCAAATTTTCTGTATAAAATACAGTACTATTAACTGTAGCCATTATGGTGTACATTGGATGTCTAGACTTACTCATCTGACAGAGCTGGAACCTTATACTCTTTGACCAACATCTCCCCATTTCTCCCACCTTCCTGTATTCCACTCTCTGTTTCTATGTATTTGACTTTTTCAGACTCCACATATAGATTATATACAGCTGTATTATGCTGTATTTTTCTATCGGGTTTATTTCACTCAGCATAATGTCCTCCAATTTCATCCATGAGTTACAAATGGCAGGATCTCCTTTTTCAAGGTTGAATAATATTCCATTGTAGATGTACATACCATAATTTCGCTATCCACTTATCTGTCAGTGAACAATTACATTGTTTCCATGACTTGGCGCTTATGGATAATGCCACAACGAGCAAGGGAGTGATGTTATGGCTTCAGGATACTAATTTTATTTCCTTTGGGTAAATACTAGTGGAATTGCAGGATCACATGATAGTTCTGTTTTTAATTTTTTGAGGAATCTCTATACTGTTGTCCATATGGCTGCACCAACTAACATACCCAATGACAGTATATAAGTGATCTTTAAAATCTTGCTGTGCATGGTAGCTCACACCCATAATCCCAGCACTTTGGGAGGCTGAGGGAGGAGGATCATTTGGAGCCAGGAGTTTGAGATCAGCCTGGGCAACAAAGCAAGACACCTGTCTCTACAAAAAATAGAAAAATTAAGCCGGGCTCGGTGGCTCAGCCTGTAATCCCGTGCCTTTGGGAGGCTGAGGTGAGTGGATTGCCTGAGCCCGCGGGTTCGAGACCCGCCTGGGCAGCGAGACCTCATCTCTACAATAAATAAAAAAAATCAGCCAGGCGTGGTAGCGCATGCCTGTAGTTCCAGCTACTTGGAAGGCTGAGGCAGAAGGACCGCCGGAGCCCAGCAGGTCGAGGCTGCGATGGCTGGGAGTGGCCACTGCACTCCAGTCTGGGCGACAGAGTGAGACTCCAACTCAAAAAAAATAAAAATAAAAAAAAATAGACTAGTGTAGTGTACATATGCCTGGCACTATAGCCTGGGCAATAGAGTGAGACCCTGTCTCAGTAAATAAGTAAATACATAAATACACAAAATGATCGCTAGAGGCTGGGCACGGTGTAATCCCAGCACTTTGGGAGGCTGGGGCAAGAAAATTGCCTGAGCCCAGGGATTCGAGACCAGCCTGGGCAACCTGGTGAGACCTCATCTCTACAACAAATCACAGGCGCGCGTACACGTACACACACACACACACACACACACACACACACACTCACACACACACACACAACTAGGTGGATGTGGTGGAGTGTCTTGTACTTCCAGCTACTTGGAAGACTGAGGCGGAAGGATCACTTAAGCCAAGCAGAATGAGGCTGCAGTGGCCGTGAGCGTGCCACTGCACTCCAGGCGACAAGAGTGAGACTCCAACTCAATAACAACAACAACAACAACAAAATGATCGCTAGAGAAATAAATGAATGAGTTGCTAATTAAAGCAGGGTGTAAATAAGCCAGAAATAAAAAACAGCTTTGAAAAAAAGATTCAGGAACAGTGAATTGAAGTGGTAGGGAAAAGCAATTAGGAGTCAGGTGGCAATTAGACCTCAGAGGTGGCTGGATCTCCCCTTCTTCAATCAGGATAATAGGCCGCAGCTCCCATTAGAATCGGAAATAAATGGAGGATCCGGGCAGGATCAGGAGAAAGAAGGGGCGGATAAAGGCGGAAGGCAGGCCGAGGGCACACACAAACTGCCCTGGCACGCTGGGCTGCGAGTAGCACCTGGCGCGAGGATGGAGCGCTTTGTCCGTGTCCCCTGCGGCTTGTACCAGGGCTATGGGAACGCGCTGCCTTTAGGCCAGCCCGGCCTCTCGGGGCACAAACAGCCCGACTGGAGGCAAAACATGGGCGCCCCCGCTTTCCTGGCCAGGCCGGGGCTGCTGGTGCCCACCAACGCTTCGGACTACTGCGCGGACCCGTACAAGAGGGCGCAGCTCAAGGCCATCCTGTCCCAGATGAACCCCAGCCTGGGCCCGCGGCCGAGCAAGGCCAGCACCAAGGACGTGGGCGTGCAGGTCAGCCCGCGGCTGGACAAGTCCGTGCAGTGCTCGCTGGGCCCCCGCACCCTGCGCAGCCGCTCCCCCTGGGACGGCGCGGGCCCCCGGGAGCCCATGGGCCGCCGGGGCTCGGCCCGGCCGCGAAAGGGCGGGGAGGATGCGGCGGGCGAGGCGCCTCCGGGCCCGGCGGAGGCCAGCCTGCTGCGGCCGCCCACGCCCGGGGCCGAAGAGGACAGGCGGGAGGAGGACGGACCCCCGGAGGAGCCGGCAGACGGAGACGCCCCGCGCCCCCGGAAGGGAAGAGCCCGCAGGCGCGTGGAGACGCAGCCGCCGATCTGCCCCGGAGGCCCAACTTCCAGGTGGACCTTCGCTACCCTCTTCTGAGTCCCCACCAGTTCTTCCTCTCCTTTTGCATTTCTGGGGCAGTAAGAGCAAAGTCTCCTCTGACTTCCTCCCTTTGTTTGGGAGTCCAGAAAACATGCTTTGTCTATGGCCTGCCTGTCTTGTAAGTTTTCGGTCAAATCTTGTGCCAACCCTAACCGAGCCTGTGAGCACACACCAAGTCTGGCAACTACTGTTTTGGGGAATGAGGACAGGAAGGGCTTCAAGTCTGAGCAATAGGAAGTCAGACTTGCATTTTGGGGAGAGTGTGGGGTGGGTGGCCTTCGGGAAAAGGGTTTGGAAGCACACGAAAGACAGCACGCAGCAGGAAGAATCCAAGAGTAATCCTTAAGAGAGATGAGAAACTCAGTTAACGCAGCACCCTGAGAATAGAGATAAGTGAGGTTAAGGAGGTAACTTGTTTTCTTATACCAAGCCATAAGGCAAGGAGGGTGTACCCCCCCATAGTAAAGACTTTCCTCCTTTATTTTCAGTTTTTGGAGCCAAAATACGGCTATTTTCACTGTAAAGACTGTAAGACCAGGTGGGAGAGTGCTTACGTGTGGTGCATTTCTGGAACGAACAAGGTAAGTACGAGGGAGAGGCGAGAGGAGGATGAGGGGGCACAGACGTTGAATGTCTTATCTCCGCGTCCTCAGGGCCAGGTGGGCAGTAAGTGCTCAGTGAATGTTTGATGGAACGGAATTGGACTGTCCATCTGAGTTTCTGACCTGCACCCTGACATTGTTTGACAGAATGTTAGGTTACTTAGATGAGCTGTTGTTCTTTTCCACCTTGGAACTTTCTCTGTTTTTTAGTTGATGTATTTTTGGATAGGTTTGTGCCTTTAAGGCCTAGAAAATTTCCACTGTATGTCCACAAGGTGGTGCAACAAGTGAGATAATTTTTGTAAAGATCAGCCTGGAAGAGACTTAGGCTAAGCCTACACAAAGTTCTCCCTGCCCCCCACCCACTTGAGTTCATTGCCAACATATTAAGACTGGGACTGGGAAAGATTTCACACTAAATTCTGTGTTTCTGGATTTCCGTGAACAACCACGGGTTGTTCTGGTCATTGCAGACTCATTTCAGAATGAGAACAGCGGGCCGCCATCCGAGGCCCCCTGGAGCCTTTTGGTTGGTCTGTATACTTCTTTTTGCCACAGTCTACATGGAGGCCCATTTTGTTAACTACTAAAAGCACTTGAATTTGAGTGCCTGGTCTTTTACCTGTTTAGGTATGGTCTTCCTGGCCAAAGGACTGTGGAGGGAGAGGACAAAGAGGCACACTGAGGACACAAACAAGGACATAATGGCGCTGGGACACTGGGTTGCATCTAGCGCCTGGTGAGCAGACGGAGAGCTTTGTCCGTGTTCCCAGTGACTCATACCAGGGCTATGGGAACACACTTTTGGGCCAGGCTGAGCCCTGAATGAAAACTTCCTCGTTCACCAGCCATTTGCTAGACCTAGGAGGTGAATAGCCTTTGAGTGAAAGTTAAAAATACTTCCTTTCTCTCCCCAGAATATAAGCAATAGGCTTAATTCAAACCTTCCAATGCATTAGGATACAAAGAACAAGGCATAGGACTTGTCCTCAAGGATTTTTTTTTTTGGAATTGGAGTCTCACTCAGTCACCCAGACTGGAGTGCAGTGGCATGCTCACGGCCACCCCAGCATCAACCTGCTGAGCTCAGGGATCCTTCTGCCTCAGCCTTCCAAGTAGCCAGAACTACACGCACGCGCTACCACACCTGGCTAATTTTTTGATGTATTGTAGAGATGAGGTCTTGCCAAGTTGCCCAGGCTGTCCACGAACTGTGGGCTCAGGCAATCCCCTCACCTCAGCCTTCCAAAGTGCTGGGATTGCAGGCTAGAGCCACTGCGTGTGACTTTTTTTTTTTTTTTTTTTTTAGTGACTGGTTCTGGTTCTGTCCTTCAGCAGCCTCAGCTATATGGACTCAAGCGGTCTTCCCACCTCAGCCTCCTCCCCAAGTAGCTGGGATTATAGGTGCATGCCACCACAATCAGCTATTTTTTTTTTTTTTAAGAGATAGGGTCTCACTATGTTGCCCAGGCTAGTCTCGATCTGCTGGCCTCAAGTGATCCTCCTGCCTTGGCCTCCTAAAGTGCTGAAATTACAGGCATGAGCCCCCATGCCCAGCTAAGAATTTATTTTGGTAGGAGTGATGAAGACAAAATGCGACCTGGCAATGTATGTGATCGCACCCATGGTACGGAAGTGATGTAGAAATAACTCAGGAGGGGGATGGTTAGCTCTGACTGAAGGAAGCCATCATGATGTCCAAGCAGGAATTTAAAGAATAAAAGAGAGAGGAAAAAAAAGAGTTCACCAAGCAAGGGAGGGAAAAAATGCGCACAGGAAATTTCACAAAGCCTACGGAGCACATGGTACTGATGGGTAACCACAAGTAATTTAAAGTTTAAGTGGGGCAGTACTGAAAAATGGAATGTGTAAGGGCCAATAGACCAGGACAAAAGATGAAGGTCAAGGGTTCAGCCATGCAATGAGTAACATTGTAACCCCAGCTACGTCCCATTGAGTACCTGCTATTGGAGAGTTATCAAAATTATAGAAAAAGTTAGTTGTATTATCCTGATTTTACAGGTAAGAAAAATTTTGTTCAAAGAGTAGGAAAAAGTGACTCTTAAGCACTAGTTGTGCTTAAAACTTAGAGGGTAGAGGTTAGGTAAAAGCAAAGTGCAAGGGAAGGAATGGATTGTTTAAGAAGTGGGATCCTAGGGTCTGGTGTGATAGCTTGTGCCTGTCTATAATCCCAGCATTTTGGGAGCCCAAGGCAAGAGAATTGCTTGTGTGAGGAGTTTGAGACCGGCCTGGGCAACATAGTGAGACCTCATCTCTACAAAAAAATTCAAAAATCACCCGGATGTGGTGGTGTGCGCCTGTAGTCCCAGCTACTCAGGAGGCTGAAGTGGAAGGATTGCCAGTGCCCAGGAGGTTGAGGCTGCAGTGAGTTGGGATTGTGCCACTGCACCCAGTCTGGGCGACACAGTGAGACCCCGTCTCAAAAAAAAAAAGAATTGGGAGCCTAAGAGAGGGTTGTATGTGTGTGTGTATATATATATATATATATAAGCTTGTATAAAATCTCATTTCTTTTTAGGTTTATTTCAAACAACTCTGTTGCAAGTGCCAAAAGAGTTTTAACCCTTACCGTGTAGAAGCAATCCGATGTCAGGTAAGCACATGCCACAATTGTGATGTTTTGTTGTTAAACATGAAGCCCCTGTAGCAAAATATTAGGATATGACAGAAGTGAATATTGGTATAGGAGTATTAGATTTTCTTTCTTTTAAAAATTTTATTTTATTATAGAGATGTGGAGTCAGGATTAGGTGCAGAAGTCATCTATGTGAGGTGAAGATCGGGCCGCCAACTGGCCCTCACTTCTCCTGGGTTAGGATCAGGTAGGCTTATGTTGTCACATGCCCACCTCCCCTGGCCTCCCACAGTGTCCCGCGACTGCTGATCCCTCCATTGTGCTATTGTGATTAATGTTCAGGGCCCACTTAGTTTTTCTCAATGTTTGAAATTTTCTACAAATAAATGAAGGCATCTATTTTTGTTTGCTTTTTATGAAGGGAAAGAGGGGAATCACTATTTTAAGTTGCCTTTTTGGGTGTGTGTGTGTGTGTGTGTGTGTGTGTGTGTATGTGGTATATGTATGTTTTTCCTCAGATACCTTGTGTCTAGTTAGAATGCTGTACTGTAATTTAAAAGGTAACTGCTATTACTCCTTTACTGTGTGCCAGACTTTGGGCTACATTTTTTTTTTAATTAGAGTCTCACTCCTTCCCCCAGACTGGAGTGCAGTGGCACGTTTATGGCCACCCCAGCATTGACCTGCTGGGCTCCAGCGATCCTTCCGCCTCAGCCTTTCAAGTAGCTGGAACTACAGATGTACTCTACTTCACCTGGCTAATTTTTTATTTATTGTA